ACAGTGTTCCCACAGTGGAGTGCTTAAAAAGAGGTTTTCCGTTTTAATAGCCTGTGTTTTCTTTTTGTGTACTCATGTTCGCAAGCAGCTACAACTGGACGTTGGCACAGGCGAGTTCAGCAGTGTGCTACGGATAGAGGACATGTAAAGGATAAGTAGCGCCACTTTTTCTCAGTTTGATACCTGCCGTGCTACAGAGTGTATGTTTAGATGCTGAAGCATTATTGTGTCTAACGCTGGGTGCGTAGCTTAGTGCAAAGGCCCTGAGTTCAATTCCCAGCACCAAAATAAAAGGCAAGTTGAACATGACTTTGAAAAAGAGAACGGGCTTTTCTGTGTGACACTTCCCCTCTCTGCTCTGTAAACGGTAACTAGGGGCAGTGGATGGAAGTTACGGAGGGAGAAAACCTCACGCGACATCAGACCGAATTCACTAGGGACAGAGCTGCTCAAAAGATGAATGAGCTGCTTCATCAGCCAGGGGGCAGTTCACTTCCAAGCACTGGGTGAGGCGCAGCTCTTTCACGACACGTGATGGCTGTTGGAGGTGTTGTCCTAGCTGATCTCTGTCATGCCTTCTGTCTTAAAGTTTGATTTGTTGCCAAAGGAATTGTTTTCATTCTTTTCGTGCAGAGAGAAAACTAAGACTGAATGCAAGCCGTCAATCCCAGGAGATCTCCATTACTTCCAATACAGTAATAGAGTGTAGCGTCGTGTCCCAGCACACTCGAAACCTCCAGCTAGCCGTGACTTGGTATTTTTCTTCCACTTCCACTAGTATGTCTTGGCTGAAGATCTTGGAAATGGACCAAACCAATGTTATCAAATATGGGGATGAATTTCACACCCCACGGAGAAAACAAAAATTTCACTCTGCGAAAATTTCCCAGAACTCATTTCAGCTGCACATTCTGAGTGTGGAAGACAGTGACCAGGGCGTATATTGTTGTGAGGTGGAGGAATGGCTCCCGTTTACAAATGGCACCTGGCAGAAGCTTGGAGGCCAGAGGTCAGGACTGACAGAACTGAAGCTCAAGCCCACAGGTAAAATTTGTGAGTGTGAAAGTACGAACCTTCCTGTAGCATATCGGCCTTCTCTTGGACAGCTTCTGTAGAGTGGTTTGTGGGAATAAAAATATGTTCTGGATTGACAGGAATGCTGTCCACCTATCCATGACTGCAGGACCTGGTAGCCCACCTGAGGTCACTGGAGGTGAATTAATCTGGGGTTTTGAGAAACTCAAATAGGAACAAGATCCTTTGCATAGATTTGCCCGTCAGCCTGGCCGCTTGGCCGGTGCAGCTACCCAGGGCATCGTATCTCCAGATCTCTACAATAATGAGCTGTGTCACTCCAGTGGGGCTGTACTATAATTTGGCAGAGAAAGAGTAATACGAAGCATATTTCTCCCACTGTGAACAGAAACTGTACAACTCTATGGGGATGTGTGGAGAAATTGCTTTTCAACATTTGGCTGCCTAAACATAAGGCAAATAAGAGTAGTTAACTGTTGGAATGGCTTACTGAGAGAATCTCCTCTTCCTCAGGAGATCTTTAAAAATATAATGGAAGCCTCATCCATCCGCATGGCTCTAAGACTGCTGCAGCCTCCAAGTGGATAGGCTTGGTTAGGTCTCTCAGCAAGATTAGGTCATCTCTACTGTTGATCAAAATTAAATGAAGGTCACAGCTAAGGCTTGGGAACTAGATGAGACCCAACAGCACAATGCAAATGAATTGATCAGTTTGGGCACTTGCGTTACTCCTTTCAAGGTAATGTCAAAAAATAAGTTTATAATTGAGTACTACGATATATGAAGCAATAAGAATGTGAAGATAAATATGGCAGAGCTCTTGCCTTGAAGGCACTCACAATCTGTGGAAACAGCAGGGGCCGAGCAGCAGCTCAGCACAAGGAGCTCCTCCTGCTGTTCTGGCTCCCCCTTTTCTTCTTGGGGCTCTCTTCCTGTCCCTGCTAAATAGAGCATTCCTCAGGGATCCATCCTGGGCCCTTCTGCTGCTTATTGTCTGCTTTCCTCAGAACATCTTAAACATTTCCCCAGTTTCCATACTACATTTGAGATGGCAGCTCTGGGTCCTTCTACTTAGCCCCCATCCCTTGAGCTCCAGGCCTCTGTACCTGATGGCCCGCTGCATATTTGTATGCCATGCTCCAGAGACCCTCACCCTGAGCCTGCCCCAATTGCATTTGTCACCTCTGCCAACGCACAAGCCCCATTCTGGCCTCCACATCTATGTGACTGCCATTTCTATCTCACAGTGTCCTAGCCAAAATCCGCACAGTGAACATAAGTCCCTTTCTAAGGCAGCGACTTCTTGGCTCAAGCCGGTGCTTCCGATGTAGAAACATAGGCTCGGTGTTGCCAGATCTTTTAGTGTATCAGGACAGTCTTGCAATCTTTTTTAAAATCACAGCTCTCAATTAATAACCATTTGCAAGTAAGAAAATCTTTTTAAAATACAGAGTGTATCAGACAAAAAGCGAGTTAGGTGTGAGTGTGACTGTGGGTTACTACTTCTACACCATGGATAAGATCATGAACTCATGAGGAGGTTCCAGGAAAAGATACTGAGATGGATGGTAGGGAGAATTGGGGTAGGGGGAATTTTCTCTGAGGTCAAAGGAAGAAGGAAATAGACTTTGGCAACAAAACCCACCAAAACTTTAGTAACGAAAAATGATTGGAGGGCTCCCTGGGTAGAAAGCTAGCTCTGGCCAAGTCTAGTGATAGGATTGGGACCGGCGGCAATGAAACAGGAAGTAACTTGAGGTGGAAGAAGTTTCATCTGAGCCAATATTTTACATACTTCTCCAGGAAAGAAAGGAAAGAGTAAACCAAACAGCAACTCAAGATCAAAGTTGTTTTCAAAAGACAAATTAAATGCATTTGTAATACAGTTGAAAATTTAATGTTCATTATGATTTCTTTATTTGTTTGATTACTCTGGATATCATTCCAGGTTCTCATCTGCTAGTTAATATGTGTGCAGGGGGGGAGAGGCTTGCATGTCAAAATCTGTTTAAAACATTCTAATCCAGTAATTTAAATAGTTCGTGTGGGCAGTATTTGCACACTTGTATCAAAATGTGCAACCTCTCAAATAACGTCTTCCCCCTCTGCATCTATAAACTCTCAAGGAAAGTGAAGTTGACCAAGGAGAGGTCAAAGCAGCTGTTAGGAAGACCCAGCTGAAGTGGGGTGATTCCCAATGGCAGGGTCCATAGGGTAAGAGGAGCAAGAGAAGTGGCTGAATTAATTTATAGCAAAGATGGGCTGGGGAGATAGCTCAGTGGAATAAGTGCTTGCCTAACAAGCACAAGGTCTTGAGTTCAATTCCTGGTAATATATATATATATATATATATATATATCAAAGACTAGTCAGGCAAATGTGAAAACAAATGATATGGATCAAAGAAAAATGTTAAAGGTGAAAGGCACGGTGTCTGAGGAATACCAGACGGGATCTCCCTAGTTAAAAACTAGAGTTTTCAGAGGCGGCGTCCAGTCTGAAAGTCCAACTCGCTATTGCTTTGTTTTCTAGGAAGCAAGATACATATCTCCAGAATTTACCTGACTGAAAATGCCACTGAGCGTGGAAATGTGGACATCCACTGCAGCCTTGAGGACTCAGGGGGCTCCAGCGCTCTGTACTCTGTGACGTGGTTGTGGAGCCGAGGAGACACCGGGCGTCACATGCTGGTGCGACTGCAGCACGACGGCTTGCTGGAGTACGGGGACGAGGGGCGCAGGCGACACCTGCACTGCTACCGTTCGTCTCCTACGGACTTCGTCCTGGAGCTGCATGAGGTGGCGGAGGAGGATGCTGGGAGGTACTGGTGCAGCGTGGCTGAGTGGCAGCTGCATGGCCACCCGGGCAAGTGGGTCAGCCAAGTATCGGATGAGTCACAGTCAGTGGTGCTCAGAGTGCTGCCATCAGGTAACCAGCGCTTACCTTGCCACAGATTTATTGTCATGAGAATATCTGGCTCTCTTTGTGTGCTTTCCTCCTGGCCATGACTTGCTTTCCTTCAAGGGAGAAGATTTCCAGATTCTCTAAAGAAGATGACTTCACTATCTCTCTCCGTACCAATCCATTTGAACAAGGTCTACCTGAGGCTTAGGCAATAGATATTTAAAGCACAGGTGCCTCCGTCTAACCTGTTCTGCCCTTCCCCCTCACCAAGAAGCCACCAACGTCATGTCCTTTTAAATGACCAAATAATGTGTGAACCAGGTATTCCTACCTCTTGGAAGATCTTATAATTTTAGAAAACCGTCTAGCTGTGTAAATGAGAATGAGCAATGGTGAAATGATGATTTTACTTTATGACCTGATTAAACCAAAATCAGGTCTAAATACTTTCCTAGCCAAAAAAGAAAAACACAGCAGGTGTGGTGGTGCATGTCTGTAATCCCAGCATTCTGGAGGCTGAGGTAGGAGGATTGCTGTGAGTTTGAGGCCAGCCTGGTCTACAAAGTGAGTTCAAGGGCAGCCAGAACTGCATGGGGGGAGAAAGAGAGAGAGAGAGAGAGAGAGAGAGAGAGAGAGAGAGAGAGAGAGAGAGAGAGAGAGAGAGAGAGAGAGAGAGAGAGAGAGAGAGAGAGAGAAAGAAAGAAGAAAGAGGGCCAGGGAGATGGCTCAGTAGAATAAATGCTTGCCTGGCAAGTGCAAGGGCCTGAGTTCAATCCCTGGTTGCACAAAAAAAAAAAAAAAAAAAAAACAAAAAAAAAAATGAAAAGAAGGAAGGAAGGAAGAAAAAGAAGAAAGAAAGGAAGGAAGGGGGAAAGAAAGAGAAAGCCAAGGCAAAGCAAAACAAAAAATTAGAACATCCTCCATCCATCAATAATACTGCCCTCCTTGTCTCTCTTTGTACTCAAAAAAAAAAAAAAAAAGACTTCGATAGTGATGTTAAACTGTTCTGTTATAACAAATACCTGCCATAATCAACTTATGAACAGTTTCCTTGGCTCAAAGCTCTAGAGACTGAAGTTCCTGAGGAGTTGGCCCTGCTCTTCGGAGCCAACAGCAGCAATCATGGGGGGAACATTTAGCAGAGCACAACTTCACATCATGACTAGGCAGCAAAGAGAGAAAGAGGACGGGACTAGAGTCTCCAGTGACATAAAGACCTCCATTGCCTCCTAATAGAGAAGAACAAGCTTGACCATGTGGGCCTTCGGGGACACTTACTATGTGAACTGTTTGGAGTGTCTCTTTTCACAGTATCTTGAAAGACATCAGAGGAGAAAGGGCACCCTATAGAATGTATTTACAGACTCCAACAAGGAGGGCAGCTACTGAAAGACCCTTGGCTACCACGACCCTCCTCCAAGTGAGAAGGCTGTTCTCAGCCAGGCATATCATAGGCATTAATTAGGCATGTGCTAGTCACAGAAGCAAAACTTTCTCCATATATCAGTAAATCTTCTGTGATGGCCAGTAGCTGGCTACAATACCTGCCAACTCATATTCGTAACTGTCTTGTTCCAGTGAGGTTCAAGGAAAAGATGAGAGGTGAACTATAAAACTAAACCTACCATAGGAAAGGGCCATTGGAATAGAGTTGTGGTCTTAATGGCTTACACCAAGAAGAGTAAGTGCAGAGGTGAAATTCTCAAAACACCAGCTGGCTTTTGTGACATATCTTAGGAGGGTAGGAACATTACTGAGAATATATGGCAACTTCTCAGTAGTGGAAATGCCTGCATCTGAGTCTCACACAGGCTTCTAGAGCAGAGGCCAAACTTATATGGACTTACAAGATGTGTTCCTGGAGTGCTTTCATCCTTGGCTATTCTCTCTCTCTCTCTCTCTCTCTCTCTCTCTCTCTCTCTCTCTCTCTCTCTCTGTACTGACAATTGAAGCCATGGTCGCTCTACAGTTGAACTACATCCTCAGTCCTTTTTATTTTTTGTTTGAGATAGGTTCTTGCTAATTTGTCTAGACTGGACATAGATTTGCAAGGCTTCTGTCTCAGCCTCCCAACAGCTAGGACTGGAAGCATGTACCACAACGCCCTATGTGAACTCCTTGTTATTTCTCAGCAGATTTATTTTCTCCTAAGTTTCCAGCAGAATGTTTTTCTTATCAGCTTTTCATTCTAACAGTTGTAGGAAGCTCCACATCCCTGAGTATGTTCCAGACGTATTTTCCCCCTGGAATTCGTAGAGTCTATAGAATCAAAAGGGTCTACAGCAGTTGTTGCAGCAGAATAAACAGATAACAACCGTGAGAAGTATGTATTGTGTGAGCAGAAGGCACATTTCCTGAGGCAGCTGTGGTCCATCCTAATATCCATGATAGAGTTCATCTCCGTGGAATCCTTGTAAAACAGAAGTAAGGTTTTAAAGGAATGAACTCTGGAAAGGAAACATGAAAAATTGAGTGGTCTTTGTATTCTTCACAACCAAAAAAGCTCAAAAGCCTGTGCCATGACCCACCGAGGATTCTCAGTGGGACTTGTAACACGGCTACTCAAGGAAATCCTTGTAACATAGTACGTGGGTTTCACCACCTCGCAGTTCCTTTCTGAAGCAGGGCAGTCTGGGCTGATGAGAAGTCCCCAGAGGTTGGAGTCAGATAAGGCTCAGCTCAGATCACAGCTTTCCATCCACTAGCCGTGAAATCACACATGGTTACTTGACTTCTCAAAGCCTCGGCTTTCTCAGAAAATAAGTATCCTAATCATATGTTTTTAGTATATGTGGGGTAGTTCCTGAGATGTGGTAGGGAGTAAAAGCGTGTGAGCCCTTCTTCCCCTTATACCTCCCAACATGACACACACAGGCATTTACATACCATGTATGTATATACATATATCAATCTATGTGACAAAATAATTTGTTGGATAAATATATTAGGTTCTGAGAAGACAGAAATGTGGATGACAGAGCAGGTTCCCACAGAGCTTATAGTTCAGCAGGGAGTCGAATCCAGCTTGCGCACTGTTCTCACATCAGTGCTCCTAAGAGGCTAAGGGCCCTCCTGAGCCGGGGTAGAGGCCCAGGTGGAGAGGAAGTCTGGAAAGTGTCCTAGGGCGTGGAGCCTGCAGAAGAAGAAAACATATTTTAGAGAAAGAAAAGATAGGCATATGATAAAAAGGCATGAAACATCACTTATACATAGATAACTTCAGTAGTTGAGAATGGCGGAAACTGTGGCCATGGGTCGCCATGGTGGGAGATGAGACTAGTAAAGTGGAAAGGACACAGATGCGTCCTCAGTGTATCTAATATCCATGCTAAGGAAGTGCACTTTACCCTGACAGCTATGGAGTGATGTTGAACAAGTCCAAGGAGAGCAGTGACATCATCAGATTGGCATTTTAGAAAGTTCCAGTAGGGAGTAGTAGAAGAGATGAATGTGGCAAGGCAGACAGCAGAGGAACTACTTGAAGTTGTAGAGCCAAGATGAGCCAAGAGGAAGGCCTGAGAGAAGGCAGTGCCAGTGAGCCCGTGAGAAGAACAAGAACTGGGCATTAGAGGGGAGAATCTTCAGGTTTTAGAGACAGGTTAGATATACGTGGGCAACGAAAGCACAGAAAGGAGAACTCAAGGGTCAGTGTTTGGCTTAGATAGATGATGCAGCCATCTACCAAGGAGAATAAGTATGAGAAAGGTTTAGAGGGAGAGATCAGTCCCAGTTTGAACAATCTGAGCAGGAGACAGAGGAATGTGGCGGACAGACCCGAAGACTTCAAGTGGGATCTGCACCGGCACTGTACATTAGGAGCCTTGAGTTTGTAGCCCATAATGATCCTCAAGGATGGACTTGGGATACACACTGTTCACTAGGGGGATGGAGAAACACAGCCTATAATGGGGTCTGAAAGGAGCCGCCAGGAAGTGGGAGGAGAACCTGACACTGGCACTATTGCAGAAATTGAGCACTCAGAGGATACTGAAGGGGAAGGACTGAACAGTGCAAAGAGACTGATTAAGATAGGAATGAAAAAGCATGCATTGAATTTGACAATGCAGGACAACTTCCAAGAGGCAGTGAGAGAAATCAGGGTGCAGTGGGCTGAGCAGCAAGCTTGTGGACAGGACTGCACTTTCCAAAGCAGTGAGTAGCAAAGACCCTGTGAGTGGCAGGTAGTACCGGGACGAGGGCTTTGCTCGTGCTGTTTTCAGATTCGGTTTGGAGATATGAAGGACTTGTATGTGTTCTCATTTCAGAAGGGAGAGAGCCAGTAGACAGGCTAAAGACACAGAGGCCACCCAGATGTGCCGGCCCCTTACAACAGGACTGTTCACCATGATGCTTTCCTGTCACCACCTGATTACGTGCCTACCTACTGGGCCACCCTTTGTGACCTGTCTGCTCTTTGAGTCATGGTACCCATAGGCGCTCGCTCTGAGGAGGCAGAGATGGTGATGTCTCCCTCCCAGCCTTAGCGCAGTCCTGGCACACAGTTGACGTCCAAGTACTACTAAGTCACAGTCACACCCCTGTGGAGTGCTTACTTAGTCATCTGTGTTAAAATCCAGGGCAAATATAACACACTATAAATTCTCACCTCTCAAGTGATTTTCTTTCCCCTCTAATTGGTCATCTTAAATTAGCTTAGTTTTAGGACCATCTAATTGAGTTACAGAACATGTGGCTCAAGTGGATTCAGTAGATGAGGCATATTCCAGAGAAATGGACCTGGCCTTTCCTTCATGTTGTGCTTCCTCCCCAGGGACTCAGCCAGCACAGAGCTACAGCTGCCTCTGTCGTTTGGCCCCATCCTCCAGCCCTAGGTTCTAATGTCTCAATCAGAGGCGTAATCTGTGTATGATTGATAGGCCCGGCATAAGGCTTTTCTGGGAACTGGATTATTTGTACTTGTGCAGCTCCTGTTACGATTTCCCAGCTTTTATTTGGATAAGGCTTTCTTTAGAAAGTCAATTCTTAAAGAAAACACACAGGCCTCACACACGGAAATGTCTTGAGAGGCCATAGCATTTATGCTTTTCCTCTGCCTTCAACGAGGCTTGGCATGTAGCCTCCAACAAATACTTGATGAAAACGTGAGGGAGTCTTCAATTAGACTGAACCACGATGGTCTGACTGATTATGGGACACACTTGCTAGGAGGGAACTTTTATTTCTTTGCAGAAGCCAGTTCTCTTAAAACACAGTCAATTTTCCAAGTTTTGAGTTGGGAGGTGGGGAGAAGTTGGTAGCCCCTCACTATTCTGTGCCTCTCATAAGTCAGCTTTTCTGAGGTTGCGTCAGAAAGAAGGGCTCCCCACACTGTGTGGGAGCAGGGTGCAAACGCACCTCCTGATGAAGCGCCCTCATTACGTCTGGCTCTGTTGTGCAGGCCTCATGTCTGAGCATCAGGCACTTACTCAAATTGATTCCAAGTGCCAAACCTTAATGGTTTTGAGTGTCACCAATTCTAATCCAAATATGGGTGAGAGGCAGATGGTGGGAAATGGTGACTGTGGGATCCAGAGCCAACACTGCCCTCTCGGGAGAGGTAATTTAGAAGCACCAGAGCTGACAGTTGCTAGCTCTCAGCCAATTTAGTGCTCTGAAGAGTGCACTTTGCTGTCCTTTGATGGAAGATTGCTCTAAGGGGAGCAGCCTCCTCCCCATTAAGACAGTCAAGCCCTCTGGCAGTCTCCTGGTGAAGCTTAGAGTCTGGGGGCAGAAATCCCACTACCAGATTTCTTCCCACCTCTTATATGCCAGCCCCATCTCACTCTACCATCCCAGCAAGTGACACTGGGTACTGCAGATTCTCATAATTCTCTGCCTCCCCTGAGTAGAAAGAAGGCCAGAGCTCCCAACTAGTCCTGTGACTCTCAGCTGGATGTCTGGGAACTGAAGGGTCAGTAATCCAAGAGAGTTAGCTTTCCATTGTGTGTCAAAACGCCAGAGCTAATCAACTAAAAAGTTTTCTTTTGGCCCACAGTTTCAGAGGGCTCAGCGGTTGGTTGGTCTGCTGCTTTGGGCCTGTGATGAGGCAGTGCCTCATGGTAGAGTGTGTGGCAGAGGAAGCTGGTGACTTCCTGACAAGCAGGAAATACAGAGCAATGAGAAGAGGGGAGATGGGGGAAGGGAGAGAGCAAGAGAAAAGAGCGGGAGGGGAAGGGGGAGAGAAGAGAGATACAGAGAGAGAGAGGTGTCCCACAGTCCCCTTCCCTTTCAAGGGCACTTCAGTGACCTCCCAGGAAGTGCGGCCTCTTAGCTCTAGGATGAAGCCTCTGACATACAGCCCTCTGGAGGACATGTTAGATTCAAGCTACAAGCACAGGGCCAGTGGCACAATGGATGACTACAGATCAGAAGATCCTAGATCCAAGTGATAGCACTTAGGGTCCCTGTGAGGGGCGGCAGGCTCTGGCCCTGCTCTCTGGCTGGTCTCTTGCAAGGTTACCTGTGATTTACTCAGCTTTCCCAGTAGCATTCTAGCTGGTATTTATTGCTTGCCGATAAAAATTGCTCCAGGTACTATGTCAAGTGCTGTATCGATCTCAACCCAACTCTAGAGATTATCGTTTCTGTTTGATTGATGAGGAAACTAATGATTAGAGAAGTAACTTATCCACTGTCAATAACAGTAAATTAAAGAGTGAGGATTTGAACCCAGCTCTCTCTGAAATATAGTAAGCACTCGCTTCCTACTCTGGACAAAGGTCCATGGCCAGTGCCCTTAACACTGGACTCTGCTTCACCTTTGAAGAAGACATTGTTTGCATCATTACAATTTTCCAAGGAAAGCACAGCTGTTAGGTTTTTAAAAATCTTTATTTATTATAGTGTCTCACTATGCAGCTCGAACTCCTAGTGACCCTCCTGTCTGAGCCTCCCCAGCTCTGGGATTACAGGTGTGCGCCACCATGCCCAGTTTCGGGGCGACACGGCATGTGATACCTGGGATTGAACTCTGGTCCTTGCACTTACCAGGCAGGTGCTTAGACTGCTGAGCTACCTCCCCAGCCCAAGCACAGCTATTGTTAGCATCAGATTTTTTTTTCCCCAACTGTCCTTATTTCAAATATGATGTCATACATAACTAGAAAGCTGCATTTAATGGCTGACGTCTCTTTAAGCATATGACTTCCTGCTTCAGAGTCTCTAAACCTGCTTTTTTGACCAGTGGGACCCTCTCCTGGAGCGTGTGGTATTTGCAGTGTGCCTGCTTTGCTTCCCTAACCAGGAGGATGGTACATGTTCTGCGTGCCTGTTTGCTGAGAGTGCTTCCGAGGAGATCGCAGCCAGCAGAGAAGCACGGGCTTCAGCAGGCCTTTATATAGTATCTTTGGCCCATGCATTTGCAGCCAATCTGTTTTAATTCACTGGCAAAGTTATTGAGCACAAGTGCTAGGCACTAAAGGGGCTGCAAAAACAAATACTATCGGATACACTCAAGTAACTCTAATGGACCAAAGGGGAGGGTGAAGGAGAAAAATCCTGAACAAAGGGTTGTGGGAGAGGGGACAGGAAAAAAACTGCATCCAAGGCAAGGGACGTGTGAGCCAGCTAAATGAGACAGCAAGAGGAGGATTATGTGCAGGGAAGAAGCTCTGAGGAACTCGAGAGGAGGATCACTGGGGGCGACTCTTGGGGGCCACCCGGGGGTTAGGAGAAAATTGCTTCCTGGGCCGGAGCAGTTGCATGAAAGGACAGTGCAGTGGAGTTGGATCTCACAAGCAGCTGTGGGAATACTTCACTTAAAAATTCAGGACAGGCAACGCAGTGAGAATGAGGGCTGAATTATAGATACCTTTTCTGAGGAATGAAGATTAAAGGAGAGTTTTCTTCTTTCTTGTTGTTTTGTTTTTCTTTTTGGCTGGTAGTTTTAAGTAGGTCACGGAAGCTCTCTGGGTTGGCAATTGCTGGGCAAATGGGAATTGCGCAGCGTGTGCCTGGGGGCCTCTCTTCGCCCCATCCTCTGCTCACTCATACAAATGAAGGGGTACCTGCTATGTGGCCCCATTATTTTTACATATATTTGCTTGTAACAATAAATGGAGAGTGCACGTGATTGATGAGTCCATATAAGCTATATACTGATTATTCTCTGTGTTGTTTGCTCTTTCATTGCAGAGCCCACGTTTCCTGACAGGATCTGCTCCTCAGCACCTTTACTCTATTTCCTAGTCATCTGCCCTGTTGTCCTGGTTGGCCTCCTGCTGCTTTCCCTCCTCTGCTTATACCAGAAGGCCAGGAAGTTGTCAAAGGAGAGTGTCAGCACACAGCGAGAGTCTCTCTGGGTAGGCATGAAAGGGGCCGGAGGCTGGACCCCAGACAGGAGAGAAGAGGAAGAGGAAGATTAGCACAACTCAATCCTGAGAGGTGCTGCGGCTGGCGTGTGGTGCAACTTTTGAACTGGACTGGCTTGGGCATGAAAGAATTGTAATTGTAATTCTGTCCTTTACGTGTCTGGGGTTCTGGGCATGTCACACGGGCTCACGAGGAACATTTAGTGAGCACGTACGTGCTGCCTGACATTTAACTGCTTCTCTGTGTATTAAATTGCCCACCTGGTGTAGCTTCAGGAGTAGAGACTGTCATTGTCCTAGCGCCTCCCTCCCACAGCCCAGGCCCTCACACAGCGTAGAGAAGCGGACGAGCTCCTAAGACAGCGTCCGGGATGGTCCTACACCTCTCCTGCATCACTGATCCTCCTGCAAACACCGGCTCCGGGTGATCTTTTTGCTCGTGATAAGAAACATAGGAATGAGTCTGATGTCAGCCAGGCAAAAGGAATTGGGAACACACTCTTGTTTACTTCAAACCTGTCTCTGCAACCAGAACGTAACTTCTTTCCAGGGAGAAATCCAATTATTTTCCCCTCGCTCATCTACAAATGTCCACTTGACGGCGTAAGAGTAGGAGAGTCAGTATTGATCCTTTGACAAAATGATAAAACATTTTATACACTGATGGGAGGGTGATTGTTTTTGTGCTAAGAGACTTATTAAGTCATGATGAGGGAAAAATCTTTCTTCTGTTCTTGGGGGGTGGGGGTGCGGTACTGTATTGGTCAGTACTCCACGGCTTCAGGTTGCCGCACCACCGAAAGGCTCATGGCTCTTGGTACTTATTTTCTATGACCTGATAGTGCTGGGAAGTAGGAAAAGACAGTGATAGAACTGGTGTGCGTGGGGGGGGGGCGTTCATGGCCACCACCCCTCTTATTCAAGCAGAACTGGGGTTTAAGACAAGCAGCAGGTAAAATCAGTGTTTTTTTTTTGTTTTTTTTTGTTTTTTTTTTTTTTTAATGTATTTTGGGCAGGGACTACAGGGTCTCACTATACAGATCTCACTCATAGTGATCCTCCTGTTTTCAGCCTCCCAAGCGCTGGGATTATAGATGTGTACCACCACGCCCAGTCTCAATCGCCGTCTCAGCGTGCCCCGGGGGTGAGTCCAGCATGGAACACCAGGGTCCCTGGTCCCTGCATCTGCCTAAACAGGGGCTTTAATCTGCTGAGCTATCTGGCCGGCCCTTTAAAATTTGATTCTTAAGGGTCGTGCAGCCCACAGCCTAGAAAATTCCAAGGGTAGGGCCATCCTGCCACATCTTCAACAGGTGCCCTGGCAGGGATGAGGAGCCCCTCGCCTTTATTTCAAGAGCTATTCAGACCGAGGTGTGGCCAGAATTGGAAATCAATCAATGCCACCTAACAGACTTGATAAAACACATCTATTTATCGTCTATGTGACCAACAGGGTTGCTTTAGCTTTCGGTAATTTGCATTTCCAAGGAAAGCAATTTATTTTTAATTATTTTATCAGGCACATAGTCCTCTCCAAATGTAATTAGTTCCTTTGCTCCTTTGCAAGCAGATTATTGGTGGCTGTGAGAACTCCCTCCACAGACCTGCGATTCCTTAAATTCATCTCCCTTTATAGCCTCATTTGAAGTACTCTAAGTGTTTTCTTAAACATGTCAACACATTCACTTTTCTTTCAGGTAGGGGAGCTTATTTTTTCTGAACACAAAGCTGAAATTAAGACTTCCTAGAGGCATGATAACTGCTTCTTTCCATTTTTTTAGAAAACTATTTTAATTGGGATTTTGGAGAGAAAGAAAATGGAGTTCCCACCATAGAATCATAGACTGAAAGGGCTGGGGAGATAGCTCAGTAGAATAAGCACCTGCCTGGCAAGCAGAAGGTCATGAGTTCAATCCCTAATACTAGAAAAAAGAATCATAGATTGGATGGGGTGCTGTCTGTCTTTGCTGGAGTACCCCCACCTCACTGCCACCTCTCACTCTGATCTGGGTGTGCTTTCTGCTCTTGACTCAAACCCCACTTCTCACCTTTGAGCCCTGCACTGGGCAGGGACGCGCTCTGATATCAAGGGCTCCCACCAGAGTGAAGGGGTAGGGATTTCCCAGCAAGTGCTTCCACCTGTCAAGCACCGTGGCAGGTACAGGACCCAGTGGTGACTCAGCTTCCTTCCACTGTCCTAGATGATCCCCTTCATGGGTGGCACCTGCAGCATTAGACTTTCTTTCTTTCTTTTTTCTTTTTCTGAGAGAAGCCAGCATAAAGCACTTTTATTGCAATAATAAAACTTGAAACTCATATGTAGTAAGGGGGAGGGGTGGTGCTGAGGGTATGGGGGATGGGCAACAGAGCAATAGTATCTCTCACCAAATCACTACACAGGACAGCAAAGGGTGAGGAGGGACTGAGGGGAGAAAAGCCAGGGAACTTTGGGATCAGCAGAGTAAAGCCAAGCATTAAAAAACAAAACAAAGAAAAACAAAAACTCTCACAAAAACAAAACAAGAAACAAAGGATGCTGAAGCTGCAATTATGAGCAGCATCATCTTTTTTTTTTCAAAGTTTTATTGATAAACAGATAGCAATGAGACAGTTTCAAATCTAATCGGAAGTACAGTTTCAACAAATAATACACTGCATATAT